ATAAAATGTCTACCTTTACATTTCCAACACTCACAGTCAGTCCTGATAGCAATTATACAATATTGAGCCACAAGAGTCATATCCACATCTCCTTTCACCAGCTCCTTCCAGACAGGTTGCAAACCATTCAGTGGAGACTACCTTCCCTGGTACCCTCTGGAACTGGGTTCCCTCACGAAAGCTTGTAATCCAGTTACTTTGTGCCTTTGTAGTCCCCCAGTTTTGAGTTGCCAATGTCTAAGTTACCCGTACATGGCAACCCTGTATACCGAGGGGGTGGGAATGATTTTCACTGTTAAGATTTGTTCCCTCTTTTGAGCTACTACATCCATATGTATAGGTCAAGTTCATCAAATTGTAGTGGCTTACTCTTTTTTTATTCATCTTCTTTCTTCCTCTAGTCGAGTTCTGATCATCTAGCCATTGAAGCCAGGTCAAGTGGGAACTATCTGGAAGTACTGGCATTCTTGTGCACTCCCCTCACTTCATATCAGCAGGACGCTTCACTCTCTGCTCTAGTCCTCTATGGCCATGTCCCTGTCCCTTGGCCCTGAAGTCTGCAGGTCAAGACAAATGCTGGCCAACCAGGTCTCAACCCAAGTTGAAAGGAGTCTATTGAACATGGTTGGACTTAGCCCACTACTTCATTGCTGTTTTCCCCTCATTTCCCCTTATCGATATACCAATGTGCTCATCAGGAAGACCACATGCCTGCTCGTGTATTGCCCTTTAGTCTCAGTCTTGGAAAGGGGTTTTCCCTTAGGGGACCGGACCATTTGCCTTGATGATTCCGGGTGAACAACTTGCTTGTTCTTTTAGTAATCAATCAGACTACCCTTATTCTTTTTGATTTTTCCTACTAGTCTTTCTTTCAAAAAAAGTATCTTCTGTTCTTCTAGCCACTCAAGGCTGGTCTGCTTGTCCTTTCAAGTGGAAATTTCCCACCTCAGAAGATTCTCTATGGGGATCAAGATTTCACCTATGGTCTCATGTAATGTCAAGGCTCCACAGGAAGCCTCCTTCACTGGGCAAGTTCTAGCTCCATTTTAGGGATTCCAGTAGTTATAGGTTGAAGACAGACTTACAACTTTCTATTGTGATGTTTCTGGCTATTTCTTTCTCTCCCACTCAAGTGTCTATTTTACAATATTAGGCAAGGGAAACCAAGATTCAAAAGACAGCCAAGCATCTTAACATTATTTTCTCTCTTTTACCCATTCAAAACATACCTCATTCCCTGTATCCCAAAGCCCTGTTCTTACAAAGGTGAGCCTACATCATTCTTTTCTCTGTCCCACTTAGCCCATGCAAACCTGCCTAAATGATCTCCCATCTGCCTAATTCTTCCTTTCTCCATTCCCATCTTGTATATTGTCTCCCCTCCCCAGAACCCAAACTATCCTGTGTTTATTCCCTACTCTATGCTACACCTTCCCCTCCCTCTTCTCACCACATGCCATACACCCCGGTAACCAGGAAATATTTTTTTTCCCCCTTTTAGTGTGGGTACTTTTTTTTAAAGTTTTTACAATGGTGGTCCCATGTAATATTTGTCCATTTGTGACTGACTAATTTCACTCAGCATAATGTCCTCAAGGTTCATCCATGTTATGCAATGGCTTGCAGCTTCCTTGTTATTCTTAAAGGTAACATGATATTCTATTGTGTGTATGTACCAAAGTTTGATTATCTATTCTTCCACTAATAGGCACTTAGTCATCTATTTGCTATTGTAAAGAGTGCTGCTATGAACATTGGTGTGCATATATCTACTCATGTTATGGCTCATCTTTCTTGTGAGTAAATATCAAGTAGAAGAATTGCTGGATAGTATGGTATTTTCTATTTCCAATCACTGAGGAAAAGCCATATTGCTTTCCAGATGGTTGAACAATTTTGCAATCCTACCACCAATGTAGGAGGGTCCCAGTCTCTCTGAATCCTCACCAGCATTTATTATCCTCTACTTTTTTTCTGATTGCTGTGATTGCTGGTATGAGATGATTGTTGTTTTGATTTGCATCTCTCTAAAGGCTAGTGATCATGAAAATTTCTTCATATGTTTGTTGGCTGCCCAGATCTCCTCCTTGGTGAAGTGTCTGTTCATGTTCTGTGCCCATTTTTTAATTGGGCTATTTCTCTTTTTCTTGTAGAGGTTTTGTAGTTTCCTATACATTTTAGAAATAAGTCCTTTATCTGATGTACCCTTGCAAAAGATTTTCTCCCATTCTGTGGGTTCCCTTTTTACTCTTTTGGTGAAGTCTTTTGATGTACATAAGTTTTTTTAATTTTTAGTATGTCCCAATCATTTATTTTGTCTACTTTTGTTTGTGTAGTTTTCAAAATGTTTGGTAATCTGTTTGTGCCCTTAATAAGATCCCTCACATTTGTCCCTATTTTTTCATTGGTGACCTTCATAATTTTGGGATTCACATTTAGGTCTTTTATCCATGCTGAGTTGATTTTTGTATAGGACATGAGGTAAAGTTTTGTTTCAACCTTTGCATATCGCCTTCCAGTTCTGCCAGTACCATCCATTAAAGAGACTATCTACTCCCCATGCAATATACCTACGTACTTTGTCGAAACTCAGTTGGTTGTATGCAGATGGGTTAATTTCTAGATTCTCAATTCTGTTCCATTGATCACGGTATCTTTCGTTGTACCAGTACCAGGCTGTTTTGACCACTGTGTTGTTGTTGTTAAGTGCCATCGAGTTGGTACTGACTCGTAGTGACTTTATGCACAGCAGAATGAAACACTGCCTGATCCTGGGCCACCCTCACTACTGCTGCCATGCTTGAGTCCATCAATGCTGCCACTTGGTCAATCCATCTCGTTGGGGGTCTTCCTCTTTTTCTCTGATCCTCCAACTTACCAAACATAATGTCCTTCTCCAGTGACTGGTCCCTCCTGAAAATATGTCCGAAGTATGAGGACAAAGTTTGGCCATCTTGGCCTCCAAGGAGCACTCTGGCTGTACTTCTCCCAAAACGGAATTATTGGTTCTTTTGGCAACTCATGTCATTTTCAATATGCTTTTTGTTATGGTGTTGGAGGAGAACTGACCACTGTAGCCATGTAGTAAATTTTGAAATCGGGGTGTGAGAGGCCTCCAATCTTGTTCTTCATCTTAAGCAGTGCTTTGTTTATCCTGGGTCTCTTTCCTTTCCATACAAAGTTTGTAACTGTCTTTTCCAAATCTTTGAAGAATGTTGTAGGGATCTGGATTGGAATTGCATTATATGTGTAAATTGCTTTAGGCAGTATTGACACTTTCACGATGTTGAGTTTTCCAATAAGGAACATGGTATGTTCTTCCACTTTTGTTAGTCTCTTTTGGTTTCTTGTAGTAGTGTTTTGTCATTTTCTTTGTATAGGTCCATTGTTTCTCTGATTACATTTATTCCCAGATATTTCATCTTTTGGGTGGCTATTATAAATGAATGATACTGCTTTCCTAATGTCTATTCCAGCACTGTCATTTTTACTATAGATGAATCCAACTGATTTGTGTATGTTGATCTTATACCTTGCCACTTTGGTGAATCTTCCAATGATGTCTAGTAGCTGTTTTACTGAGTCTTTGGGGTTTCCTATGTATAGGATAATATCATCCGCAAATAGAGAGAGTTTTATTTCCTGTTTGCCAATTTGCATGCCTTTCATTTCTCTATCTTGCCATATAGCTCTGACTAAGACTTCCAAAACAATATTGAATAGCAGTGGTGCCAAAGGACATCCTTGTCTGGTTCCTGTTTTCAGAGAGAAGGCTTTCAGTTTCTCTCCATTGAGAGTGATGTAGGCTGTTGGTTTTATATATATGCTCTTGATTATGTTGAGGAATTCCCCTTCAATTCCTACTTTGTTGAGTGTTTTTATCAGCAATGGATGTTGGATTTTATCAAATGCATTTTCTGCATCAATTGATATGATCATGTGGTTCTTTTCCTTTTTCTTATTTATATGGTGGATTACATTGATTGTTTTTCTAATGTTGAACCATCCTTGTATCCCTTTTATGAAACCCACTTGGTCATGTTGTATTATTTTTTGATGTGCTGCTGGATTCTGTTGGCTAAGGTTTTGTT